TTTTACTTGTGGTTTTCCACTGCGTGGTCAACTCAGATACTGAACCAATCAACAGACTCTAGAGGATTGCACCTCGAGAACTGGAAGATCTTGGGATATGTCTTCTTCAGTTTGCAAGATCTTGCTGTCGTTGTGTCTATTTGACTCAATCTTCTGTGTCAACGTACAGCCGCTGGATAGACAAACAATACCTAATTGCTTTCCACTCCAGTGGCAATGCGGCCCGGTTGTGGAAGACTTGAGAAGGCAAAGGGATGCAACGGGGGTAGATGTGGACAGAGAGGTGGTCCTAGAGCTGAGGTTTCTGCGGGTGCAAGTGTATTGCCGTTTCAGGCCGATACTGAAAATTTCTTGCACATCAGCACTGTTGATCTCATGGGAGTGATTAAAAAAGTGGATATACCAAAAAGTGATCAAAGCCCTGGAAGGCAGTGCGAATGTGGACGTCAAAGGTGAAGTCGGAGATGCCAGCCTCAAGGCCTGTGAAGAAGCATCCATTTGAGAGAGCCTCAGCAATTAATTCGCCGCATTTTCTGACGTTGTACCTCTTGGAGTCAGGGCTGATATCAAGCTACAACCTCTTCGGCCTGGTACTGTTTCGGAGGGACCACTGCCGAAAGGTTCTCGTCCTCCTGGCCTGTTCATAAGTTCATGCTTGTTCTTTCAGAAAATATTCAACAAATTCCACAAATTCAACAATCTTAAAGGCAATGCAATGCATCTCTTGCAGGCACGTTTCAGTGAAATGTGAGGTTGGAGTGACCTGTGGAGCCAAAGTCGATGGAGCTTGATGTGTGGGTCTTAAACTCGTGCTTGACGGTGATTTGATATATATATATATAGTATATATGACTATGACTATGCCTTAGCATTTCATGCTCTCCCTCCATCTCTGTTTCAATCCAGGCTTCCTCTGCTTGCAGCCCTCCCTGGTGTGCTGCTTGGGCTTTTCCCTTCGAGCAGGACAGCAGAAACTACTTTTGCTTTGTGAAGCAATTGACTCTGCTGAACAAAAAAGTGGTCAGCGCTCAATTTTGGAGGCCATTTGAGCACAGGGCTGTTGCATCAACCGCTGGAAGCAGCTTCGTTGCGGGGCCCCCATTCCCACTACTGCAGCTGTCTTTCAATATCCTGATCATGAGGCATTTCTTTGATTGCTTTTCAAGGGTACAAGGCTTTGCCTACAAAATGTAGCACACAGGACCATGTAAACTGTAAACCCAATCCGGCTGATGATACCGCACAACTAACATGGAATTCAGGTGGCAGGGATGCTATTCTTGGCAGAGCGTGCTCTTTTTCGTGCGGACTGTGCTGAGAAAGCTTGCAGCCTTGTGGAGTGTTAAAGTTCAGACGGGAGTAAATAAACAGACCTGGTCACACACCATTTTGAGATTGTGAAGTGTATGTGGTACCGTTGGGTGAGGAATTGCTTATTGCAAGCCGCCGACTCGCCTTTGCGCTTACGGACACATTGGCCAATGAGGCAGAGCCAAGTCTTCGCGGCTCTTTCGGTAGACTCAGCAGCCACTGTTGTCTTATGGTTGATCTCACACTCATTGTTCGAATCAAAGGTGTAGGGGGAACATGATTTGCAGAAGCCAGATAGCAAAAGGCTGAGCAGCAAAGTGCTTTGTTGCCCGTAGCTACTGTCAGTGCCTCAAAGATTTCAAACAGATTTCAAAGTGCTTCCAAGATCTCTTGACGTCGGAAGAATCCATCAATTTGATCTTCAGACTGAGGCAGCGACGATTGCAGTCTCTGCAGCTGTTACGTTTGGGGTCGAACTGAACCCTTTCTTTGCTTCGGCACTGGCACTGGTACAGGCTCTTGAGCTGTGTAGCTCACTGAGCAGCTCACTGCTGAATTTCACCACTGAATTTGTTTGTTACTGAATTTGATTTTGGATGATTTTGGCATAATTTGAGCATCATGACGATTTAGGGCCGTTTTGGTCGCGCTTGCATTCGCAGGCAGTGACCTGGATCTTGGCTTCAAGAAAAGCACTGCAAGCGAGATACGGAAGTGATGCTGCTATCCAGGCGAACAAGAAACTTATGGCCCGTCTGGGAACATATGGGGAGCATGTGGGGAGCATATGGGGAGCATATGGGGAGCATATGGAGCGTTCAGAATGACCAGTACAGGACAACAATGGACAACATGGCTGGTTCGATAAGGTTTGATAAGAACAACTCGACAACTCCATGCGTCGAGGCTGCCACTGTGACGGAAAACCGCATGGTTCGTCCTGGAAGGCCTCTGCAGGAGGGGCTGAACAAGATACAAGTTGCAAGGCATTCACGTTGCACGAATCATTCACAAAGCATTCGCAAGGAAATTTCACTTTGATTCGGTTCAAGATGGTTTAAACATGTTTAAACGATTTGAAGCGGTATGAACTCTAAAAACTTGCAATGACATAGAAGCGGTATGAAGCGCTGATGTTCGGAAGGACCAGCCTTCTCGGCGTCTTGGACAATGGCGAAGCTTTGTGAATGTTTTCAGTCGCTAATATCTTGGAAGCAGTAAAAAAAAGCAAACGACTAATCCAAATGGACGCACCTAGAAACATATCGATGCAGGTATCTCCAGTGTAAGGTTGGCAGCCTCGACTGAAACAAGCCTGAAATAAGCTTGCATTTCCTAGAATCGTCCATCCAGGCAAAGACTTTAATCACTCAGTTCTCTTTGCTGCTTTGACAGATCAGACTAACTCACCTCGACTCACCTTGGGACCTCTGAGTCTCCTTCAAACAAAAGCTCAGTTTCGATCCTTTCTCCATTGGTACTAGGCAGTGCTGCCATCTCATCAACAGAAACAGACACCTGCTGCCATTTGGGGGTCAAAGCCGCTTTGAAGGCAGTGATCAGCTTTGGTACCAGCAAGTACTCAGAAAATAAATGTGCACTGTCCAATGGATTGGAGCCATCCGAAATATGAACATTCTTGCAATAGCTTGCATATCATGTAGATTTATGTGCAATGTTTGCGTTTGTAAACATGCGTCATCTCTTACACTAAATGCTGCGCTGGGTTTTCCCTGCATAGTCCGATGAAGTGGACAAATGCCAATTCTGGCCGCGGCAAGAGGCCGATACAATGCCACTACTGCAGTTTGGTAGTGGCAAGCAGATTAAAGTCTTCACCGGTCTGCGCGAGCGAACGCTTTCTTCACACTTTCTCGTTTTGAGTTAGTTCGTTTTCGCCCAGCTGTCAGAACCTGCCCCAGATGACGAGGGTGAGGCCAGAAGCTGACAACAGAGAGGACGAGTGAAGAAGTGGCTGGATGTGACACCTTCAGACGTTCCTCCTTGCTGTGAACTTTGTCATCTTTATCAACCTACTGTACAGATTCTACGCTTTAAATTGCTTGCTGAGCCCCCATCAGCTGCGCCAACGGAGGCGACACCTTCCACTGCTCGAGGTCTCAAAGCACTTGCTGCAGACAGGCACTTCCAAGCATGCACATTTGAAACATGCTACATGGCAGCAGCAAGCCGCATCATCACCCTTGCAGCTGATTAAATCATGACACATGACGCATAGTATCCTTCAAAGTCTTTCAAAGAGACCAAGGTTTCTTTCTGGCGAGTTCTCTCAAAACCATTTTCATCGGCGAATTCTAACATAACTTTGTAATTGGCTAACCTGATAGTGCAGGGAGCAACAGACCTCCCTGCAATAGGTCCATGTATGGACTACTTGCTGAGGGTTGTGCAGGAAAGACACTCACTTGTGCCGAGGAAATTTGCGTTGCTTGTGCTGTTTTCAGCTGTTTAGGTCTTTTGAGAAGTTTGACGTGATGTCACATCATGATGTTGAAATTTACTACATTTCTTTGGACATAAAAAACATGCGAGTTCAAGTCTGTGTTTAATCATGTATAATATATAATATATTCAAAGACGTTGTTATATACATATATATATATATGTATATGGTATAAAGGTATTGCTTCACCCCTCTTGCAACCCTGTCCCCACCGCCGTATCCAAGTTCCCCCCTGTCCCATTTGTACTATGTCTATGTATATCTATGTATGTTCTCTTCTCTCCCACTCGTTCTCATTGTCCCCCCACCCCATCCCACCCCACCCCTGTCCCCTGTCCCTAGCCACTCCCTTACAAGCTTGGACCCGAAAGGATCATGGCAGTTGCTAGCCTATCGGCGGCGAAAGTGAAGTAATTCGTTTGCGCCAATGAATTTCGACCCAAGTTTGCATCTTTTCCATCTTTTGGCAGAAGCTTGGTGTTTGGACAGGCGCGTGGCGTTCCCAAAGTCTCAGGCACATTTGCAGTTTCAAACTTGAACCCAGGGAAGAAAGACTGTGTAAAACTGTGAACTTTGTCTGTACTCGGTGTAATGAACAAAAATGATGCACATTTGATGCCAATTTGCAAATCCGTTTCTTGCTGCACTGTGCCCATGGTCGGTGCAGCTTCAGGCCTTGGCACACTTACCTTTGATACCTCCAGCGCCACCAGAGGCTCATAGCCTGGTCGTTTCTGTGTCACTGTGAACAGGGAACTTCTATTTTTTTCCCATTTAGGATGACGGATTGGCACTTGAAAGAACGTCTGCAATTGAGAAGTTGCCGCTTGATCCTTTGCTCTGAAAGGCAGATGACTTCCGAAGCGCCAGCAAGCGGAGCAACAGCAAGCCCCTTCCGTCGGACCGATCATTTGATATTCGATGCTGCAAAATTGTTCCATTGCGAAGCGCAAGTTTTTGCCTGGAAGTTTTTGTACTTGTTTCATGTCTGAAAGTCTGTGTAGAGTACAGTACGTGTATCTGACCAGAATTTATCCTCTTTTACCAGAGGATGCAATCGAAGACAGCCCAAGCAGTGTTCACAGTGGTCGATCCAGAGTCTTAGCTGCATCACACCCCGTGACCCATGATTTACTTTTGTTCCCGAGCAAATGTCCTTCTTGCAGCAGCTGCATGTTGACTGCGATGGTGTTGGAGCGGCTCCTGCTTAGGGGACCAAAGCAAGACCTTGGATTGGCGCCGCAGAACCACAAGCAAAGGGAAGGCCAGTCGTTGAAAACACAGCTGTGCCGTGCGTTTCACTTTAGACGCTCTCCAACATCTCATGCCAGAGGTCCAAGTGCTAGCAGTTCCTGAAGTAGCGGTACCTCTTCAGGAGACCAAATCGTATTTCACTTCAACTGACTATCCAATGCGATGTTTCCTATCTTGGACGGTCAGGATGATGACATCCCTGGACTTCCAGGAGTTCTTGAATGAGCTTGAATGAGCTTGAATGAGCTTGAAAGTACTGAAGTACTGCAACATGCATTTGCTGGCTTTGTTTCATTGCAGGAGTGCGAGAGTCGCATGTCAGAGAGGCAATTGCTGAGATGTCTTGGGTTGCCTTTTCCAAACATCTTCTTTGTGGTCCATTGGGTGTGTTCAGTGTTTCAAAATGCAGTAGAACCGATTCTATTTGCCAGACAGTGCTCGTTGCAATGTTTTCAGATATGACAAGTGGCCGTCCCCGGAAACCGATACGGTTGCTCCTCTCTAGTATCCCCTCTTTGATAGGCCTTCAACCAGATAGACTTCGATGGGAATGGCTTTATTGGCGTGAGCGAGCTGCGATATCTCCTGACAGTGCTGGGTGAGGAACGGCTCTGGGGTCAGGGCCAACTGAGTGCAACAGTTCGCAAAGTCTTTCGATTCGCGAAAACTGTTGCTTCATGTTATCATAGCTTTGGAAGTCGTCCTGCGCAAGATGCCCTGAGGAACCAACTGACGCCGAACTTGATGAGATGCCACTTGGCTGAAAAGCATTGCTAAGCAGAGCATTGCCGGAGACAGGCTACAGGGCAAAACTTGGGATTTGCTTAGCAGAAAGGACATCGCAGAAGTCACTTGCTAGTGGAATTAGTTCTAGTGGACTTAGTGGACGCGGTATTCTTGGCAACCCTTGTGTAAAAAGAAACAACGGTGAAGCCTCAGCAGTGGTGGCAACTGTGGTGCTGAAGCAAAGTAGACAACAAAACTATACTCAACTGATGGATGCTATGACCATGTCATTGTTATAGCCTGTCTTTCCTTGTGGAGTGTTGAGGTTGGCCATGATAGGTGGGGAAGGGGACGGGCAAGCAGCATTGGAGGCGCGGATCGAGTACCTCCCTAAACCGGGCAACACGCAAGGGTTTGCAACCGCTCACTAGATGCTTCTTTCAGGTCTGCGAAAGGAATTCTTGTAGCACTGTCACTATGTCACTATGTTTGTCAAACATCCCCAAACCATTGCTTCGTCTAAGCCAGTCTAAACCATCTCTTCTGGAGGACTTTCGAATGCTCTTTGCACCAAAGAGCTCCGTGTTGGCTGAGATGCAAACCATGGCGCCAGAGCCCGAGGAAGAGGCGGGGTGCCACGTTGTGGTTTTAAGGTGATCAATTTCATATGATGATGAAACAAGTCAAGTTTCCATTCCAATTGATTCTCATATGTAAACATACACGGCCAAGACAAAAAGTTCCTGGCTCGTTTTGATCGACTCCTGAACCACTGAACAAGGAGATCAAGCAAGAGAAAGAAGACGAGCTGGGAGCACAGAAAAATAGAAACGCAGTCAACGATGCCTTTTTGTAACCTGCGATGCACATGCACCGCTATCCTGAATCGATGGTGGCAGCGATGTGTATTTCAGTCTTCCTATAGTGGTGTTCTGAGGCAAGAAGAGATCCCAAGGCCAGTATCCCATCGGTCATGTAGAGGGGCACTCAAAACTTTGATAAAATAAGTCACAATGAGAAGATCTCCGACAAGAAAAGAAGCATCTAAAATGAATCTAAAAAAGAACAATCTAAAAACCTCGCTTAAGGATGCTTAAGGATCCTTAAGGGGTAAGCCTTGTTTAAAATTTGAAGATTGAGAGGCTGGAAGCTCCTCCGCAGCAACTAGGGCTTCTTGTGAAGGCGGACTATGTGCTTCATTGAGCTTCGTGAAATTTCATTGAAAATCATTGAATTCTATGCTCATTCTTTGCTCATTCTATAAGACAAGTAACATCTGGCACAGTCTGCTGCTTTGCAACTGGTTGCAGGGTGCGGCAAGCTTCATGCAGGCGAGGATCAAGAAGGCCTTCGCTGCAGTCGATTTCCCATTTGCATGATCAAAAGATGACTTCTCGACTGGTCTTGGTCACGCATTGAGATGAGTTTCCTGCTGTAGAGGTTCCTAACCCGAGTCTGTTGATCTTTTCGGCATGTTTCTTTGAAGGCTGTGTACGCTCCGTGGGCACTTGCAGGAAGACGCTGGGAAGAAGAAAGCTTCAAGAGCACGGCCAAAGGCACTTGCAAGTTTGAACGCTTTTTGATCCTTTTTTAGCTCTGTTTTGTGACTGCTTCCAAGTCATACTAAAAGCCCACGCTATGCTCTGCTGGACTGGCGAGGCCAAAGCTCCTGGGTCCAACCGAGCTCGTCCAATTCTTGGACCTCCAAGGCATGTTCACCAGGTGCTAAGCCGCCACGAATCTCCACAGCCTGCACAGCTGTCCAGAAAATGGAATTCCACAGAATGCAGGAAGTCTGGCAATGGCTGCTTTCATCACCACCACCAACACCATCATCACCACCATCAACGTCATCAACGTCATCAATGTCATCACCGTCATCACCGTCATCATCGTCATCATCGTCCTCGTCATCATCATGATCATCATGATCATCACCAGCCGCACCTCAATACCACCACCACCACCAGCAGCAGCAGCACCACCACCACCATCATCTTCATCTTCATCTTCATCTTCATCTTCATCATCATCATCATCATCATCAATGTTGCATTGCCTTGAACATCTTGCGCGCCTAATGCAGATTTGGGCTTCCATTTGCAGGGCGTTTTTGTTTGATCTTGTCTTTCTCACCACCATTTTCAATTTTGTTTTTTCCTTGTTTCCCCCTTGTCCCCCGTTTCCCCTCCTTTCCCACCCCCCTGTTTCCCCTATTCTCCTCTCCTGTTCCCCTGTCCCCCCCTCCCCTATTAAGATACCTAAAGGTTCCCTTCCTTTGTGCTCCCCCCTGGTGTGCTCCCCCTGTTCTGATCATGATTATGAACGCGATCATCAGCCTCCATCATTATGATTTACCATTCTGGGGGTGGGTGGGACTGCAGAAATTAGAGGCAAGGTCAGTATCTCTGACATAAACCAATATGTGACATATTTACATATTTACTTGCATTGGTCAGTTTTGGTCACTCCCAGTAAACTCAACTCGGACCGGGTGTCTGCCTCTCTTGAACTGGAAGGGTGACCAGATTCCAACACGCGAACAAATATTGGATATTCTCTGTACAGTTGATCATCTTAAAGTTAAGCGGCCATGCTGGCAGATGGTGCCTGGTATGCCAAACATGCAGATTCCTGGCGTGGCCACCGCTGGGATGGGTCCAGGCCTGTTCCGTTGTCATTGGTTTATTTAAGGGCTGCCGCCCCTGCCGCCGACCCCGGAAGAATGGTCAATGAATGAAACCAAATTGGCATCAATATTCTTCGGTGCTTCGCACTTTTAGGTTTTCCCCTTTTTCATATATTTTTATGCAATATATTTGATAAAATATTTTGATATAGTAAGAAAACCCACCCACCAAACCCCTTCACCCCCCTGAGCAGTTCCTCGACGACTTCAACCAGAATGTGGGTCTTGAGCTCGTGAAATTATTCATTTTATTAAGTAAATAAACCTTCCCATTTATCCCCCCTTTTTGTGGCAAGGTGCTGTGCTGTTCCGTGGCAAGGCGCAGAAACGAAATAAAATACACAGGTATTATGTCCGGTACTAATGGTGCTGCAAATCTCCAAAACGCATTCTTCGCCACACCGAAACAACATGCTACTGAAGGACGGAACGACCTCCAAAAACATGCTGCCCCGGGGCTTGACGTCCCTTCTGGATTCTAGTAAAAACAAAGCGAGTTCAGCTGCTGGGCCTGCTGGGCCTGCTGGGCCTGCTGGGCCTGCTGGGCCTGCTGCTGCTGCTGCTGCTGCTACTAGAGGTGGTGCTGCAAGCCTCCAAAACGCACCCTTCGCCACACCGAAACACCATGCTACTGAAGGACGGAACGACCTCCAAAAACATGCTGCCCCGGGGCTTGACGTCCCTTCTGGATTCTGGAAAAAAAAAGAGATTGCAGCTGCTGGGCCTGCTGCTGCTGCTGCTGCTGCTGGTGCTGCTGGAGCTGGTGCTGCAAGCCTCCAAAACGCACCCTTCGCCACACCGAAACACCATGCTACTGAAGGACGGAACGACCTCCAAAAACATGTTGTTCCGGGGCTTGACGTCCCTTCTGGATTCTGGTAAAAACAAAGCGATTGCAGCTGCTGCTACTGCTGCTGCTGCTGCTCCTGCTGCATGCTGCCGGTGGTGCTGCTGGAGGTGATGCTGCAAGCCTCCAAAACGCACCCTTCGCCACACCGAAACACCATGCTACTGAAGGACGGAACGACCTCCAAAAACATGCTGCCCCCGGGGCTTGACGTCCCTTCTGATTCTAGTAAAAACACAGCGAGTTCAGCTGCTGGGCTTGCTGGGCTTGCTGGGCCTGCTGGGCCTGCTGCTGCTGCTGCTGCTGCTCCCGCTGCATGCTGCTAGTGGTGCTGCTGGAGGTGGTGCTGCAAGCTTCCAAAACGCACCCTTCGCCACACCGAAACACCATGCTACTGAAGGACCCCATTTGCGTCGCGTGCTGTGACTCGTTGTATCGTCATGGACAGAAGCCGGCAGAGGCGCTGACAAATGATATGTTGCTCGGCTACCCGCCGCGCGACCTTTACGCGCTGCAATGTACGGTCTTAGAAGTTTTGAGTGCGAGTCCGTGTTTGACAGCGTTGACATGCTTCAGCATTGAATGGCGGTACCTGTCGGACCGCAGCTTGGCGCAAGATGCCTTTATGAACCGCCACCGCCTATGCGCGAAAGGAAATGCCACGACCTTTCCGCTGCAATGGGAAGATCTTTTGTCCGAACTCGAAAGGTTGAATCCTACCGCGGGCGCGGCCGCAACGTGCCGTCTGCCACATGTCGGAGACGAATTGCGCGACAAGATTGCTGTCCTTATCAAGGTTGGAAACAAGCAAGAAGGAGCAACCGTGCCGCAAAGAATTATTCACCAAGCTGTGGTTCGGCGTCACGTGGTGGTCGGTTTGATCGCAGCCATGGTGTCACGCGGCCACCCGGCATACAAAGGTGTCGACATGGATGCCGTGACACTACGGGCCGAGCAGTTGCCAGAAGACGGTGTACCGGCCGAAATTGTCGCCTTGTTCGCGAATGATGGCACTTTGGCGCAAGTGCAACGCCAGAAAGCAGCAACGCCTGTCAATGACGCAATGACAGAGGAGCAGGTCGAACGCGAATTTACTCGCTTCCTGAAGCCAAATGCTGTCGTTTTGGAAAAATCAAGCGCAGGGTTCCATGACATTAACGCACGGCACGTTTCTGCAATGGAAGACATTGTGCACCACAACAGCGGAACCGCAGAAACTGCGCTACCCGAAGTCGTTTTGTATACCGGTACAAAATTGTTGGACCAATTTCAACCTACATACTTCGGATTGGCCTTTCCCTTTGTGTTTCCGTACGGTGTCGGCATGCCTGATCCACCTCGGTGGAGCAAGCAACCTAGGCACCGACGAGCGGCCATTGAACCGCGCGTCGAACTCAGCACGTGGGTTCGCGCGCTCGCGCGCCGTGTGGAGGCGCAAGTTAGTCGAGATTGGGTCTTTGGCTTCACATCGTGGAATCTCCTTTTCCGGTCTTCATTAAACCTATCACGCACAACAGATGCGTACTCCCGCATGTACTACGACGAAGACGAAAATGTTTGGGTGCAGCCGACTGGACACCACGTGGAGACGGCTGCAAAGCAGTTACTTGATGCTTTGCGCGGCTCGTACGTGGACGTCAATGGACAACCGCGTCCCGTCAAAGGAGACATCACAAAATTGCAATACGTCCGCGGGCTAAAACCCATGGCTCGGAAGCTTTTGGCAAATATGCGTCATACGGCGCACGGCTTACCAGGCACGCAAGAGGCAAGGAAACGCATGCGCTTCGAGATCCAAGCCATGCGTATTCGATACGGCGTTCCTCTTTTCGTGACGTTTACGCCAGACGAAGCACATCAGCTGTTGTTTATTCGGATGGCACGTGTTCGCGCATCCGATCCTGTGCGTTCGGCTTCCATCGGTCAAGATTTCCCGGCGGGGTCAATAGAATTTCCATCTTTGAGAGGCACACCAACAAATTCACCATTCGAGCATGAATTTGTAATACCCATGGCGTGGGCAGATCGACGTGAGGGTTGGCCCGAGACCCGCTGGCCGCCGTAGATGGTTTTCGCGTTCTCACGCACTTCATGCTGCGACATTTATTCGGGGTCCGATCTTGCCCTACGTGTCCTGATTGCAACACATTCCCCCGCGGGACTGCTGAGCCGTGCCAAGATCGTTGCGGCAGCAACGCGGAGCCTGGCGGCGGCATCTTCGGTCGCGTTGATGCAGTGTACATTTCCCTTGAAGCGCAGAAAAGCACCGGTGGCATGCACGGTCACGCTCAAGTTTTTGTGCAATGTCTTCACCGACACACATCGTTACAAGAAATTTTCGAGATGTGCGAGGCTCGTCTCGACGAACTGCGGCGCGCGTACGAAGAATATCATGGTCATGTCTGTCACGCGTCCTATGCCGGGCAAACTGCAGAAGACATGGAGCGTAGAATTCACGCGGCTGAAGCGTCCTGGCCAGACCACGAAGAGGATGTAGCTATGACGGCCATCCCGCAGTATCAACTGCAGCGAGCCCGGGCGCAAGATGTCGAGGCAGAGGCTGCTGAGTGGCGACGTATCTATATGGAAGAAGATGTTGTTGCGTTGCAACTGGTCAAGCAGCACCATTATCATCCATACAGTGAAGCAGCACAAAGCCGTGTACCATTGTCGGGGTGCCAAAAAAGTGATCGCCCCGGAGTCTGCAAAAGTGATTTTCCACGTACGCAATGGCTCTGCCCAGACGCGACTGTCTTATGCCCATGCAAATTGAAATCTTTCGGCATGCCTCTAAGCGGTCGCAAGAACCGACTCGGAGCTTTGCACGGCCCATGTGGGAACGAGTGGTTAAATGGCTGCGCGCCAGCTATGCTTGCAGGGCTCCGTGGAGCAAATTGCGATGTACAAGTGCCGTACAGGCTCCCCTATGCTTGCAACGTATGTGGGAGTCACGTGACGGCAAAAGAACGCCGACTCATCGCATTGGCTGCGCAGCGGGCGCAAGACGCGCAGACAGGGTATTGCGCAGATTATTGCTCCAAAAGTCAACCAATGGGTTTTGCCGAAATAAAAGAATTTCAAAAAGGACACGAACAACTGCAGGCCCAGTTGCACAATAAACGTTCGCTAGACGACATTGGCAAACGTCATGCAACACGGTTCCTTAGTGATGCATACCTGAAAAGCGTGGTTCGAGGTCAAGTGGAATGTTGTAATCTACGCGCAGAACACCACGACGCAACCGTCGTGGCAGCCGAGCACATTGCAACGACAGCGTTTGCCAGCTTGTCCGGTGCGGATTTTGTGCGCGCTATACGGGTGACTTCACCTGATGCAGACGTGCTGCCTGCTCAAACGCGCTCCGGAGCGACGCGGTGGACTCGGCGACAAAAGTCCGGCGTGCGACATTTAGCAACAGTGAACGTGGCAGACGTCTATGGGCATCGACCTGTTGGGTCAGAGGTATGGTGGCTGTCTCCATATGAGTTCACCACTGCATGGCGTATTGCTGTGCCCCGCGTGCCAACAACACGTCGCGAATGGGAGTCCGAAGAGGCAGCAAGCTGGGATGTAGAGCTGACGCACGCAGGGGTAACGCTAATCAACGACCAAACGGAAGAGGACAAAGAGCTACAGTTGAAACCGGGTCTACATTATCAACTCAGCTTGAAGCCATCGGCTGATCGAATTCTACTGGAAGCCGGCACTGCAACAGAAATCTTACGGCACCGATGTTATTTGCAGCGTCGCATGCGGCCCTGTTGTCCCCATTTCGAGACTTCGCCGGTGCCCGTGCACAAGGCCGACGCAGCGGAAACGAATGCCCGCCTAACACTGACATATTTTCGCGCGTGGACGCTGAATGCACCTGCAGCCTCAGCTAATGTCCCTTTTGCAGGTCGCTTGAAATTGCCAGATGAAACCTGGGTCGCGGCCATGCGCTTGTGGTTGCTGTATCTCCCATGCGAAGAAACAAAACGATATGTCGGTAATTTTCTGTCTGTTTACCGCGTGCGGCCCACCAACGTCGAAGATGGCAATAATAGCGACGACAGTGGACTAAATGAAGCTTTGGTGGTCACGCCTGCCACCTTGCCTGTCGCTATGCAAACGTCGTTTCGGCAAATCGG